GTAAGAAAATATAATAATTATTACTAAATTTTTGCATAATGTCAATAATATAAATTTTAGGAATAGAATAATTATAAGAATATAAACGTAAATATAACCTCAATCTTATAATGGCCAAAAAATTGAACACTTCTATAATATAACAATGTCGACAAGTTTTGTTAACTATTAATTATGATTCTTTTTAATTTCAGATTACACTCGTTAACACTTGCGGGGTTTGCGAGGAAATTGTGGAAGAATCTCTAGTTCCTACACATACATGCTTGGAGGGATTCGATACATACTGTTTTGATAAAAATCGATATTTTTATCCAATATGCGGTAAGTATAAATGAAAATAATATATATTTATGAAGAAATTATGAAGATAAATCGAAGATAAATCAATATTCATAATCGGATCTTATATAATATATAAGATCATCTTAAGTTCATCTTTATAGGTACTATATGTAGCGAACAATACAAGTCGTACAGCATCTAAAGATAAACTTAAGACAATCTTAAATATAAGATTTAACTATGAATACCGGCCTAAGTATTTAACATTCTGTTACATAATTCTAGGTTACATAATTCTGCGTTCCAGAACCACGGTCTTAAATGCTCGAGTGTCGTTCTATCTTTGTTACTTACGGAAAGTTAAAAAAGGACAGAGCATGCTCTTTGCGCTAAGAGCGTTGTTCTGGAAGCCCTATAATATTATACATATGTAATAATTTTTTAATACAGATGATGGAAAAATAATACGACGAAATGCGATAAATAATGGCAAAGAGGACATCACATTAGATGAAACTAGTCAGTACGAAGAATCGACGATGGTCGATAATTCTTCTGAGTCTACGGATATAGACGAATTACTTATTGAAGAAGTTTCTAAACATGAAGTATTATATAATTACAGTATACTTGTTCAACAACGCAATCGAACTGTAACTACTGAAACGTGGACAAAAGTTTCAAAAGCTTTGGAAGGTATAAAAGTCATATTATTAAATTATATACAATATATACTTCCATACATACATCCATACATACATACATACATACATACATACATACATACATACATATGTATATACATGTGTATGTGTGTGTGTGTGGTGTGTGTGTGTGTAGTGTGTGTGTGGTGTGTGGTGTGTGTGTGTGGTGTGTGCGCGTGTGCGCGTGTGCGCGCGCGTGTGTGCGCGTGTGCGCGCGTGTGCGTGCGTGTGCGTGCGTATGTGTGCGTGTGCGTGCATGTGCGTGCGTGTGTGTGCGTGTGCGTGCGTGTGCGTGTGTGTGCGTGCGTGTGCGCGCGTGTATGTGTGTGTGTGTGTGTGTGTAATCATCCTTGTGATTAAAATAGTTTTTTACTCAAATGTTTTACGTATCCTTATAGGGCGTTTAGACCCGAAACAAGCCGCCAAAAAATGGAAGACGCTACGAGATAGTTACTCTCGTGAGCAAGCCAAGGAGAAATTGCCAAGTAGAGCAGCACGTCCTACTTCAAAGCGAAAGTGGAAGCATTTCGATAGAATGGATTTTTTGCGTGATACAATTTATAGAAAAAAGTATATACTACATTATCTAAAACTAATTGTATTGTGCTATTATATTAAGTTTATCATATATTTAAACTATATAAACATAAATATTACAATTACAGAACAAGTGATAATCTTCTTAGTGACGAAAATGAAAATATACCACCCATTCCAAAAAGACGACAAAATGGAACAGCATTTTTTGTTTTTAATGTATATTTATATTAAAATGCTCAAAATGAATGTATTATTTATTTGTTATATATTTTAAATGTATTATTTACTTATTTCTTTATTTTTTAGCGACCGTGTCGACGGGTGGCACAGCGTCAACCTCTGCACTCGATAAAATTGCAGATGCAATTACTGCAATTAGCGCAATTCCTAATGTGCAATTGCCAACGTTACCACTTCCAGACAACAAACAGGATGAGGTAGATAGATTGATGACTATAGTCTCGGCGCAATTGCGAAGACTCCCGGAACGAGAAAGGAGAACTTTGATATTCCAAATATTTTCATTCGTAAATGATAAAATTTCAAATATTTAGTTGTTTCAATAACTTTTTCAATTATGCAATAAATTGTTACACGGTTTTGCATTCTGATAATAAAAATAAACTAAACGTTCAAAAAATTAAAAAATTAACTTCGAAAAGTAGTAGATGCATCGAACCATCTACTATTTTATAAGTTAAATATTTACTTATAATCTAATTTGTGATACATGCAATGATGTTAAAGACTAAACTGAATGTAATTTGTTTTAATTAAAAATTAGGAATACGGTGTTTATTATAAACATTAAAATAATTGAGTTTTTAATACATTCAATATATTCATTCGTTTCGATAACTTTTATTTATGGAATGCAGACCTGTGCAAATTTTTATACGCTTTTGCATTTTAATAATAAAACAAGACTGAGCGTTCAAAAAATCTAAACATTAAGTTTAAAAATATTTAAAATATTATGTTTTGAGAAATATATTATTTTTATTTACATATTACTTATAGTCGAATTTGTGATACATGCAATTGTATAATGTTAAAGGCTAAACCAAATGTAATTTATTTAATTTACATTTAGAGAAATATGGTGTTTATTATAAACATTAAAATAAATAAGTTTTTAATACATTGTGTTTTTATATCAAACAGTTCAAAAAATGCTATTTTTTATTGTTCATATTACTTATAAAACTTCATAATATATTTAGGTGTTAATTTATCAAAAACATACATTTATTAATTTTTCAAATACATAGAAAAATAAATTTCAAATTCTATTGCTTTTTGAGTCATTTCTTACTGATAAATTTGTACAAATTGCCATGGGACGGTGGCTTCTTCATTAAAATAATCTGTAAATTTATTTCGAATATTTGCAGCCACTCTTGAACACGTATGATTGGAACTAGCAGCAATACTTTGTAAAGCAGAATTATTTGTTTCAACCATATTTCTTCAAGCACCTGGTATAATTGATCCATTATCTATTTCTCTATCGACCATGTTTGGAGTTATAAATGTTCCTCTTCTTGTTAGATCTTGCTTACGAAGCCAGTTATGCAAAACAACTGTTGCTTTTACCATTTTTTCAACAGTATTGACTTTTGCAATTGTACTTTTTCTATAAATTCGCCATTGAGCTGCAAGTATTTCGAATGTATTCTCGATCATTCTTCTTGCTCGGGATAGTCGATAATTGAAGACTTTTTTTCAGTTGATAGTTTCTCTCTACCAGGATATGGTCGCATTAAATATGAACTCAATGGAAATGGAATCTTCAACAATCTCAATGGAATCTTCAACAATCACATACGGATAATTGGAACTTCCTCCATAAATTTCATCTGCACATGGAACATGCATGTTTCCTTGTGCAAAT